GAATATTTTTCCGATTTTTTAGGATTTTTTGGGGGGGATTTTTTTCAGGATTCTTTCGGGATTTTTTGGGAATTTTTTGGGGATTTTTTTTGGGATTTTTTGGGGGATTTTTTTAGGATTTTTTGGGGCTTTTTTGGGGGATTTTTTGGGATTTTTTTGGGATTTTTTTGAGGATTTTTTTTTAATTTTTGGGGGATTTTGGTTTGTTTTTTTTTTTATTTTTTTGGGAGGATTTTTTGACAATTTTTTCAGGATTTTTTGGGATTTTTTGGAGATTTTTAAGGCTTTTTTTGGGGATTTTTTGGGATTTTTTTGGGGATTTTTCTGAGATTTTTTGGGGGATTTTTTTGGGGATTTGTTTCAGGAATTTTTTGGGGATTTTTTGGGGGATTTTTTGGGATTTTTGGGGAATTTTTTCAGGATTTTTTTTGAATTTTTGGGGCATTTTTGGGGATTTTTGGGGGATTTTTTGGGGATTTTTTTGGAGATTTTTCTGGATTTATTGCAGTAAAGTTTTTTATATTTTTCAGAAATTTTTTTTTATTTTTTTGGGATTTTTTGGGATTTTTCTTGGAATTTTTCAGAATTTTTTCAGGATTTTTTTGAGGATGTTCTCTAAGTTCCCCTCTATCATTTCCCAACTTTAATTTAATTTAATTTAATTTAATTTTATTTTATTTTATTTTATATTTTATTTCAGCCGTGATCGCCGCCGCCATCTTGAATTCGACTTTTTTTAATTTTTTTTTTATTTTTTCCGGAATTTTTTTCCGGATTTTTTTGAGGATTTTCTCTCAGTTCCCCTCTATCATTTCCCAATAATAATTTAATTTAATTTAATTTAATTTAATTTAATTAATTTTTCAGCCGTGATCGCAGCCGCCATCTTGAATTCGACTTTTCTTTATTTTTTTTCAATTTTTTCAGAATTTTTTGGGGATTTTTTTGGGGATTTTTTTGGGATCCTCTCTGAGTTCCCCTCTATCATTTCCCAATATTTAATTAATTTAATTCAATTTAATTTAATTTAATTTAATATTTTTATTTCAGCCGTGATTGCAGCCGCCATCTTGAATTCGACTTTTCTTTATTTTTTTCCCAATTTTTGGGGGATTTTTTGGGGGATTTTTTTCGGGATTTTTTTGGGATATTCCCTAAGTTCCCCTCTATCATTTCCCAATATTTAATTAATTTGATTAGATTTTAATTAATTTAATTTCAGCCGTGACCGTCGCCGCCGCAGCCGCCATCTTGAATTTGACTTTTCTTTATTTTTTTTTAATTTTTTCGGGATTTTTTGGGGGATTTTTTTCGGGATTTTTTTGGGATCCTCTCTGAGTTCCCCTCTATCATTTCCTAATATTAATTTAATTAATTTAATTAATTTAATTTAATTTAATTTTATATTTTATTTCAGCCGTGACCGTCGCCGCCATCTTGAATTCGACTTTTCTTTATTTTTTCCCGAATTTTTGGGGGATTTTTTTCAGGATTTTTTTGGGATCCTCTCTGAGTTCCCCTCTACCATTTCCCAATATTAATTTAATTAATTTAATTTAATTTAATTTAATTTAATTTTATTTTAGCCGTCACCGCAGCCGCCATCTTGAATTCGACTTTTCTTTATTTTTTCTCAATTTTTTCGGAATTTTTTGGGGGATTTTTTTCGGGATTTTTTTGGGACCCTCTCTGAGTTCCCCTCTATCATTTCCCAATATTAATTTAATTTAATTTAATTAATTTAATTTAATTTCCAGCCGTGACCGTCGCCGCCGCAGCCGCAGCCGCGATCGCCGGAGCCGCCACCGGAGCCGGAGTCGGGAGCGGAGGCGGAGCCGGAGCCGGGAGAGGAGGAGCCGGGAGGAGAGGAGCAGGTGGGGACAAAAATTCCCCAAA